AGAAAATATTTAGACCCAAGGAATGGCATAGTTTTTATATATTTTTTTGTAAAAAGGATTATTTTTTGAAATTTTTGTGTCGTTTTTTTAATTACTAAAGTCACCAAAGTAAACGGGTTTCGGTATAAACATTACTCTTCCACAATTATTTGAAATTTTTTGATTTACATCATGCCTAAAGTACCCAAAAATGTAATCTCCAATCTTAAAATTATTAAATATTATCATATCGGGCTAAAAATTGGCGCATATTCATTAAAGAAATGCTTTCCGCTTTTTAACGTTAATGTCATTAAAAATCATCTATGTTAAAAATGCATTAACTTCATTTTCATCCCGAAATTTCACCAAGTAACTGTAAATGTAGAGCATTGGTATAGCAATTCATTGCTCAAATTTTTTAGAGTTAAATTAAAAAACCACCAAGTTTGATTTAAAAGTCCAAAAAAATTCCTGCTCAATCGAACCTCGGGTGGTATTTGATAAAATCTACAAGTTTTAAATTAAGTCATTTCTGTGTCACTTTGGCATTTCTCTATACTTAGGTTTAAATTGAAATGAGTGTCAAAGATAATTTTCATACCGAAACTTCTTTACTTTATTGCCCTTTCAATTCAATAATTAAAATAAATGACAATAAAATGTCAAATATTGGTTGTTTTTTTTACATAAAATAGGTACATTACAATTTTAGTTAAATATTATCTATTTGACTTATACCGATTACTCCAGAGCCATTCCACGCGTGACGGATGGGATAGTTGCCGTGTTTTTATTTACAAAATAATGTTGTTCTATTGTATTGCCAATGTCAAATTTTTATAAATGGTTCTAAACTGGAGCTGTTTAACAAGGTTTTTATTTGGCAAAATTGGGTATCGTGATTGACTGTCCAATTCCTTAAAAACTAATAATTTAAAGCGTAACGGTCGGGACTTTGCAATAGTCCCGACCGTTACGCTTTAAATTATTAATTTTTAAGAAATTGGACAGTCAATCACGATACCTAATTTTGCCAAATAAAAACCTTGTTAAACAGCTTTTGTTTAGAGCTATTTATAAAAATTTGACATTGGTAATATGGTGGAACAATATTATTTTGTAAATAAAAACACGGCGGCTGTCCTATCCGTTAAGCGTGGAATGGCCCTCCAGTACATTTAAAATAAATTTAAGGCAAAATATTAACAAAAAAACATACATTTTGAGGTGATTGAGCAGAGCATTTTATTACGCAATTATTTTAAATCCGAGACGTCCTAGAGCAAAACGAGTGACATTTTTGAAATTAGCGGCCCAAAATTAGTTCAACCGGGCCAGAGTACTCAATGTTAAAAAAAAAAGTTTCTAAAACTATCATAGTGTAATCAATATTAATCAGTAATTTAATTATTATACATTGGTAAAATTCAAATTTATACAAATTTCTCTCTCGTTAATTTGTGGGTTTTGGTAAATTAACCTTAAAATTGACATTCGACAGTTTGATGACAGCCCAGATAGAATAAGGTTTATTTTTTACAAAAAAAAAGTAAAATGGTTGTCCTTAGCACTTTAAGGCCTCATTTGATACTTACAAGTGCCTTTGTAAGAAACACAACAGATTTTTAATCTGTATAAACGGCACAAACCCAAAGCACAAGAATTGTAAACAACATAAATATCTATGATAAAAATGGCCGCCGTTAGAGTTTGTGCTTCGTGATTTTTAGTATGCGCGAAACCTTGTTGTGTAAAGTAAAAACATGTCGACGAAATTGCAAGGGACGCCAATGATTAAGAGGACTTAAAAATAAATGCACGTCTTTCTATCGAATTTACGCTGTATTTTTCACCACATCTGCACCTTTTTACCATTGATTAGGTTGTTTTTGTAAAAAAAACACTCAATAACAATACAAAATATCAAACAACTGTCAAAACACATCTTGAAGCCACAGATTTTGTTTGTTTACACGTCCAGTTTTATGATCTAATGTGCCGCGATTCGAAATGTTAAAGGCACGTTAGTTACGTCATAATTATTTTACGTCATAGTTTTAAGATTTTATGTTACGATAAAACTAAAACAAAACCAACCCAACACTTTAACAAAGGAACAACAAATTTATAAAATAAAAAAATAAAAAAAGTTCGACAACTTCTCAGTATCGATCCCGGTACCTCTCGCATGCTAGCGACCGCCCTACCATCTGAGCTATCTAGCTTGACATCAATTTTATAACGCTCGGGGAACGTAATAGAGTAATTGCATCAAAAATGAAAATCCCTAAAAACCTTTTTATTGTAATCTAGAGGTAAAAACACATTGCGAAAATATTTTTTTATATTCCAAAAGTTCAACCCGGCCCCAAAATATCAAATTGAAAAAAAGGTACTTTTCAAACGTTCCGAACTCCCGCCATATTGCATGACGTCATAAGCTTTACCAGCTGTCAGAAATCAAGATGTCAACAAATAATAAACACCGATAAAGTTTATGTTTAACATGGAAAACGCGAAACCAAAAATTGGTTGTAAATATTGTTTTGTGCCTTGTACAAATACAACCTGGAAAACTCCTGGGAAAAGGTTTATCACCGTGCCAAAAGGGAAAATAAGGATAAAGTGGATTAAAATAGCTCGGCGCGATATCAAAACATCGTCACCATTTTATTGCTCATTTTAAGGATCATTTTAATGTAAGTAAAATAAAATGTCGTTTACTAGGTATATGGTTTGAATAGGTATGTTAAATATTAATAAATTCAAGAAAATACGGCTGAGCCGTAACTACTCTCAGTGTAGGGTCATAAACTTTGCTTTTGATAATTGAAGGGACAACTTTCCCAGGAGTTTTCCAGGTTGTATTTGTACAACAAGGCACAAAACAATATTTACAACCAATTTTTGGTTTCGCGTTTTCCATGTTAAACATAAACTTTATCGGTGTTTATTATTTGTTGACATCTTGATTTCTGACAGCTGGTGAAGCTTATGACGTCATGCAATATGGCGGGAGTTCGGAACGTTTGAAAAGTACCTTTTTTTCAATTTGATATTTTGGGGCCGGGTTGAACTTTTGGAATATAAAAAAATATTTTTGCAATGTGTTTTTACCTCTAGATTACATTAAAAAGGTTTTTAGGGATTTTCATTTTTGATGCAATTACTCTATTAACGCCCCTTTAACATTTCAAATCGCGGCACGTAAGCGTGCCTCTAGTCACAGCGTTTTAACTTTTGTAAATTTAAAAGGTTTGAAACCTAACCTCAATACTACTTCATGTTTCAAAAAATTTAAAGAGAGCTACTCCAAAGATAAGAGCAATATTATCTTTGAGCTACTCCATCATTCTATCATACCTGCATAATTTTATTTTTTTTTGACTTTATTTTGCACTATACTTACATTACAGGGAATACAATTCTGTCTCTAACCTTAATTTGCTAGGTGAAATAAAACTATATGCAGATGATACCATGCTTGTGTATTATGATAAATCTTTAGATGTCATTAGACAAAAAATAAGAACTGATTTGGAAATAATACATAACTGGCTTATAACTCATAAATTATCACTCAATGTAAAAAAATCATCATATATGTTTATTCATAGCCACTATAAGCCCATTGATCAATTGCCTATTTTGTTTGGAAATGACAATCTACAATATTCTAATGTAATAAAATACTTGGGCCTCTACATTGATGAAAACCTTTCCTGGGAAAAGCACTTATTAAAATTAAGACAACGACTACTTGCGCCGGTGGGAGTGTTGAAGCGACTAAGTTTTATGTTGCCAGCACAACTACTTCGGTCTGTGTATTTTTCGCTTGTCCATTGTCACCTTCAGTATTTGACTGCACTGTGGTATCCTGCACGTAAAGGCCTTATTGTGCCTATTCAAATCTTGCAAAATAGGGCGATAAAAAATATATACAACCTCCCAATTAGATACAGCACAAAAGCTCTTTTTGTAAACTATAATGTTATGCCTCTTGAAAACATCTATAAATACCAGGTATCTGTTTATATACACCAAGTTAATCTTAATACTCGCCATTCCAATATTTCATTAAAATTTCGCAACGACTACCATGACCATAACACACGTCATAAGTCTGATGTAAACCTAGAAAGGGTTTTATCAATGAGAGGTAAAGGTTGCATATATCATAATGGTGTCAAAATTTACAATGCGTTGCCTATTGAAATCAGAAACAAACACATTAGGGGTTTTACGTCTGGTTTGAGATGTTTTCTGGAGTCTGACTTGAGATATCTTTTGGAGTCTGAGCTGTAATGGTCACCAGTGTGGTCTATGCTCAGACCGCACTGATGGTTGTTGTTCGGGCTTTGGGGGACGCCTCGGGTTAGACTTCCAAGCTAGGGTGTTTCAACGGGTATTGTCATTTTATTTTATTTTTATTCTCTTTTCCGTCCTTGCATTATCAAACATGTAATGTACCTATCTATAGTATAGAAACTAGCTTAAGCTTTTAAAACATGACGAAATGTGAAATGAATATCTACTACTACTACTTTTATATTTTTATTTTTTATTGTTTGTATATTTTTGTTGTATTGTTGTGAGAGGATGAATCCGTATAGAGTGTTAACGTGCACTCTCTGGATTTTTCAAAATAAACGTATTTTCTTTCTTTCTTTACAATTATATTTTTACATTAATTTTGTCTATGGACTAAAAAATATAATATAGATATTATTTGTGTTAAATGTATTTAAATTTTCTCTTTCTTACAATCACAATATACTTGTAATTGGAAGCAAGAGAAAAATACACAAGAAACATAACCTCAATGACTCATTACCACAGCTACATTCAAATTTTAAAGTGGGCCTTTCTAGTGTGATTGGTAATACAAATCACTGTATAGCACTTACACCTAAAAACGTGCGTTTAACTATAAATAAAAAATAAAAAAATAACACAATAACGAGCGGTAAATAAAAAAAACGCTTAAAAGCATCCATGAGATATTCATCGGATTTTAGGAGGCCTCTCCGCAACTAACCAAAATGAATGACATGGATATCGTGATGGAAGACTCGATGGACGGGGGCCCCCCGTCTGTGGGCTCCGGCGAAATTGCCACAGTTATAGCGACCACGGCCAATACCTTACCCGTGACGCCAGCTAGTTCTAAAAAGGTACAGGTTTAAATAGATTCAGACCATCTTACTCTTACATATGGTATGTATACAGAGCAAGTCAAATTAATGAAAAATTATCTCTGTGTGCTCAAATGGATTTATGAATTTTGTGATTATTTAGTTTTGAAAATGATGTATATGTAGAAATTAGGCAGTACCAAACAGATCCTTGAGAAACTTTTTAAATTTAAAGGTAAGGTTAAGGGAATACCTTTTGGAATTTTTGTAATTTAATTTTTTTCAGATTAATTTGGATTCTTCTATGTATGGGTATCTTTTTTAATTGAAGAGCTACAAGGTCGGTTAAATTAGAGATATGTTGCGTAATTTCAAGCCTATTAAAATAAAATTTTAAAATTGGAGACAAAATCAGTGGTTCTCAAATAATTAAAACAAAAACTTTAAACCCGTCAAACCAAAAAACTGGGAATTTTGAAATAAATGATTTATCTACATTTTCATTCAATTTGTGATTTTTTTTTGCCTACTAAATTTTTATAAATAGTTCTAAACAAAAGCGGTTTAACAAGGTTTTTATTTGGCAAAATTAGGTATCGTGATTGACTGTTTAATTCCTTAAAAATTAATAATTTAAAGCGTAACTATTACAAAGTCCCGTCCGTTACGCTTTAAATTATTAGTTTTTAAGGAATTAAACAGTCAACCACGATACCTAATTTTGCCAAATAAAAACCTTGTTAAACAGCTTTAGTTTAGAACTATTTATAAAAATTTGACATTGGTAATATAATAGAACAATATTATTTTGTAAATAAAAACACGGCAACTGTCCTATCCGTTACGCGTGGAATGGCTCTATAGCCGTCACATTGTAATTTTACATGGTTAGATAGAAAAACATAAAAAAATCTAACAATTTATCAAACTTACTACATACGTTACGACGGCCATTATGAAAACAAAGACGGTGATGGTAATTTAAAATATAGTAGAATAGTGATGGGTCGTAATTTTGATAACGTGATTTTGGAACGTTATTTTTAAATCACGTTCCGGAACGTTCCTAAATAAATCGGAACGATGTGACAGCGGATCGAACTGAATAGAAACAGATAATCCGACCATCGAATGAGTGAACGGAGCGAGTGGGAAGGGAACGACGTGAAACATGGAACAGAACGAACGTCGCTAACGTCGGAACTGTTTAAAGGCGCAGTTACCTCGTTTCGTTTCTTGTTCGATTTTCACGGCGCGCCGACTTGAGCTGAACTTTATCGGTGCATATAACCAATATAACGAGGCGGGTGGAATCGTTCCGCTGGAACGGTGCATAAAAAAATAAGTTTGTTAGGTAGGGTAGATGGAATCCAATATACCTAATATTGTACAATTATTAAACTATAACACCAAAAGTTACTAAGAAGGTTTTTTCTTACTAGAGAATCTTTATTAGAGAGAGACAAAACATTCAAGGAGTCAACAGGTTTTTGTGTATTAAAGGGGTCCCTAGACGTTTAAAAAATATTTTGCTCAATATTACTGCACAAAAAATTGATTATTGTCCCTAGGCAATCAGACAATATAAATAAATTAGGCAATATTGTCAACACAATGTTAACTAAATTGCTTAATACAACATATTGCAATAATATTGATAGTGTAGGGACCTCCTTAAACCTTATAATGTATAGCAAAAGTTACAATATTTAATTTTGGTATTAAATTTGTTATGGTGTGGTCAACAGAACTGAGAGGCGCGCCAGACAAAATGTAGCAACGTCGTGTGTCGTGGATTCCACTCGCATGTATTGTGAAATCCTTTACCCTACGTTCCGAAATAACGTGATTTTGGTACGTGATTTTTTAGGAAAGGAACGGTACGTTTCGTATTGGGAACCGTTTTTTCCATCACTATAGTAGAAGAAATTGGATGAAAATGTCTATGTTTACATGTAAACCTTACTTTTCTCCAAAATTTCCAGTATATACAAAGTTATAACGATTTTTGGTTTTGAAAGGTTTTTTATATTTATTTTCAAATATTTTAAGAACGGCTGTATTTTTCCATTTTTAAATTTTATTTTAATAGGCTTTTAATTGCGAAACTTTTCTCCAAAATAACCGACCTTGTAGCTCTTAAAATAAAGGAAGTACCCTTATGTATACAGATAAAAGGATATTTGGTGCAACGTGTGTCCTGAAAAGGGCGCATCAACGGTATACCACGTTGTGGGGGGGTTATATTAAGCATTTAAATTTAAAAAACTAGTCAACGACGTTTTCTTTTATCCGTTTGTATCGCCACGATTCGGAACGTCGTTTCAAAAACGCCAAAAACTGATTTGTGCAAAAGTCAATTTTTAAAGGATTGTATTGAAACTTACGGACAATTTCTTTGCCTGTAACGCGTAAAACATATAGAATACCGAGACCGGCATAAAAATATAAATTGATGTTCGTTTTTTTCAACTGCGACGCAATCGCGGGCCACAATTCGTCGTCATACAAACGTATAAAAAAGAACGAAATCTGTGGGGGCCTTAAGCCAATTTAAGAAACATGTAAAAACGGTTGTTAAGGAAACAAAATATTCCAGGCCTGTAGAACGACTTGTAGAAGGTTATTAACATTAACAAATGTATTTTCTTTTAACTACTTTTGAAAAGTCATAAAATTGTGTTTATTCGTTTTTTAAAAATAAATATTCTTTAAAAATTAAAATAAGGAAAATAACATATAAGTCTTAAACCCTTATGACTGTTTGTCAGAAAAAAATGCTTATTTTTTGATAATCAACGTGGTAAAATCGTTGGTGCTTCATTTTGCAGACAAAAAATGTTTGAATATAAAAAAGGTTTTTTTACAATATCGCAAAATCAAAATCATTCAGCGGGATCAATTTACCCTAGAAAAGTTATGTCTACCCTGCAGCAATGGCTGTTGACCAGTTTAATTAATTGATACCTAATTAATAAAAATAATAAATAAATACTTTAGAAGCAAAGGGGGAGTCTGAATACTTCCACGCCAAATCGACCACTCTGTGAATTTTTTCAATGTTTTTTACCCAACCAAATAAAGTTATGAAATAAAAAATGCTCATAACTTTATTAAAAACTTAATAATCAAGATGTTTTTTTTTTAAACTAAGTTTTCAGAAAAATATAACAAAATAGACCATAAAAAATTCAGTTCTTTAGAAAAAAAAAATAACTTTTCAAAGTTCGTCATTTTAGTTTTTAACTTATTCATTCTACGTTTAATGGCGCAAATTCCATAGTGGGACAAGTTCAATTTTAAAAATATTATTGACATATTAACAAAGTCATTGAAAAAGACGGCGTTTATTCGTTGTCAATCCTGAGTAAGTCATCGCTTTTTAACTTTTTTAGTGATTTTAAAAACTAAGATTTGTGGCATTTAACGCAGAATAAATCAAAGTTTTCTGAAAAGCTGAAAAATTTCATAGAATATGAAAGTACGGTTAAAAACAAAAAGAATTGAAGAAAAAACATCAGTTTAAAAAAAATTATGACTATTTCAAAAAAGCATTATTTCAAAAAGTTCTTGATTTGGCGCAGAATACCCCATATATATGTGCAGCGATTATATAGTTTAGTAGATACTTATACTAGAAAAATGGAAATTACTTAATTTAACAATATATGTACATGTAATGATAATCAATATACCTAATGTTTAATTATGTTTGAGCAGAAGACAATCAAAAACAAAGTGGTGACTGGATATATACTCTACTCGCGCGAGGTGCGCAAACAAGTGGTACAGAACAACCCAGAATCGACGTTTGGAGACATAAGTCGGATTGTAGGCAGCGAATGGAAGTCGCTACCGTCGCACGAAAAACAGAGCTGGGAGGAAAAAGCATCGAAACTCAATGAAGAGACCAAGGCTATGCTGTTGCTTGACGAGCAATGTGGAAGTCCTGCACCTAATCCAATTGACCAGGTAGATATTATGTTTTAGTTCTTTTACAGTATCACAGTTCATTGCATAAAACATGTTCAATAATAAACTGTAACACTGGAAATTATCATTCCATGTACGGGTTTTATTTGTGTTAAAACATAAATTTAAAATTTTGTATTTAGTATATATATATATATTAGGGTGAGTCAAAAAAACCGACTATTTTTTTTTTACTTTGTACTCTAAAAAATCGGTTACTAGACACCTCTAGAGAATTCTCACCAAACATGAGCTCTTAATTTTGATAACAAGGTCCTCCGCTTTACAATTTTCCATTTTTTCCTCAGTATTAGAAACAAAAATTTATATCTCTTCGACAACTGTTCGTTAAAAAATATCTCTTCTCATATTCTTGTAGGAAATCGAACGCTCTACAAAAAAGGTCTCTTACAATTTTTTCGTAAACCTCACCGTTAAAAAGATATCGAAGGTTAAAGTTTAATTATTTTAAGAGAAATTTCTGTTTTGCTTACGAATTTTATAAATTTATTTCCACACAAAGATAATACCCTTTGTTTCCACTTCTTGGTAAATTACATTTGTAATGGCGTCGGTGCTTAAAAATAGTTATTTGTTTTACAAGTGTTGAAAAGCGACTTTTTCATGCGAGTGTTTAAGTTGCTCACGAGGCTGTCAGGCCGTGTGTGCATTAACACGAGCTCAAAGAAACCTTTTCTCACAAGTGAAACACAATGTTTTTTCTACAACCCTTTTATTTTTAATTATATTTAAATACAAAACAAAACAACCTAAAAACGTGTTTGACAGCTGTTAAAATTACTTTCATCTTATTCTTTTAATTTTTAAGGTATAAGTTACTTAAAATCAATAAACTTACCTTCTCAATTTAAATAAAGGCACTAAAAATTAGAATTTATTATACAAACACAATTAATTGTGTTCTAAATGATATTTAGACATACATATGCAAATACAATACAAATTTGAAACGAATGTCAAACGATACTGTCAATTTCTTTTCGCACAGACCTGTCACTTTTCACACAGAAATGTCACTTTACATTCGTGTTTTGCCTTGCCAATGAAAAGGTTCATTTTCTAAGCAACGATGCCATTACAAAATGTGACTTTTACATAGTGGTCGTAGAAAAATGAATCTTTTCATTGGCAAGGCAAAACTCGAATGTAAAGTGACATTTCTGTGTGAAAAGTGACAGGTTTGAAAAGAAATTAATTATTTTGTTTTGTATTTGAAAATAATAAAAAAATAAAAGGGTCGTAGAAAAAACATTGTATTTTACTTGTAAGAAAAGCTTTCTTCAAGCTCGTGTTAATGCACACTTGGCCTAACGGCCTCGTGAGCAACTCAAACGCTTTTTAAGTGTTGTAAAACAAATAACTATTTACAGGTTAATTTTGTTGTTTTTGTAACCAAGTAAATAATAAATTATGGGAACATACCTGTAATTTGCTTTTCTACAAGACAGTTAAATTTTACAGGTCTTTTATACGAGCCCGTAAAAAATTACAGGTCTGTTCCCATAATTTATCGTTTACTTGGTTACAAAAACAACAAAATTAACCTATAAAATCTAATTTACCAAGAAGGTGTAAATAAAGGGTATTATTTTTGTGTGAAAATAAATAAATTTGAAAAAAGTTTTGACATGCATTTTTAAGTAATTATTCATGAAGTTATTAAGTAAAAAAAACAACTTGGGAAATACCAAACACTCTAAATTACTAATTAATACAGTGTTGCCATGTTTAAAAATAAACATAATTTTTTTTCGAAGATATTTGAATGCTGCTGGGACAATTGCGACTATCAGTTCGAAGATTGTTCCGATTTGATCGATCATTGCATCAAGGACAAGGAACAGCAGGGTCACGTGCAGGCCTACTTCCACGAAAACGCCGGCTCCGAATTGAACTGTCACTGGCGCAATTGTCTGCGAAACAACAAGAAGAATTGCCAACCGTTCCCGAACATTGCCCGCTTAATCAGGCATGTGCGCGACATGCACATCAACAAGGGCAAGGGCCGGTCGGTGGCGCCAGAAAACAGAAGCAAGTAAGTACCACTCCGACTTATGTTAGTATTTTTAGTACCTAGCCCATAATATCTGACCTGATAATTTAATAAAGTGGTTGAGCTTTAATCACTTTTTGTGTTTAAATTTCATTTTTCGAGTTAATCTTTTTCAGTGGCGAAGCGTGGAATTTTTGTCAAATATAGGGTTATATAAAAAAAATGTGGTATAAAATCGGGTACTTTAATATACAATTGGATCTTTTATTTCACTAATTTTTTAGGACCGAAAATATTTAATAATTTAAATTTTCCACGCAATGAAAGAGTGCACTCTTGCATGCTTCCAAATAAAAATCAAAATAATTCACCACTAATTTCACGCTCATAAGAGACGCGTGTGGCATTTTTTATTTATTTACCCGAAAAAAAAAATTTAAAACAGGTTTTTGCAGAATTTATACATCATGGTAACATTATAAGATCATCAAAAGATCAATAAAAAATATCCTTGAGGATAATAAATTTATTACAGATAAAAAAAACAAATAAAACTACACATTGAATTAAAATTGATTTTAGAAAATAAACGTATACTGTCGGTTGGGTTATTTTTGCAAAAGGGAGTCCATTGAAAATGTCCATTTACAAAATAAAGAATGTTTTATAAAGTTATATTACAAAATTATAATTTGATAAATCGATGTGTCAAATTAAACGATAGTTATGTTAATACAGCACCGAATTTGTTTTTTTATTGCGACCCGGTAGAAGATTCTTACTGAATTATAATTATATGAATAATTATTGTAATCATGTAATCATTTATTATATAATTATAATCAGATTCACAAATTTACTTTTTTCGTGATATTAGTGTACAGATATTTGGAAATCTTCATAAAAATTTACTTTATATTTTTCGTATTACCCTTTGAATAAAATGAACAAATGCAAAGGTGAATCGGACATACTGCAACTATATGGTTTAACCAACTGCCAGAATACATTAAAATGTTAATTCAATGTGTACATTTACATATCTGTTAAAAAAATATTTATTAAGTAAACAAAATGTATCTACATAATTATACGATATTACCTATTATGGATTCTTGTAATCCTTTAGGGTCAATAAATAAATTTAAAGTGCTAAGAAGTTCTTGTTCTTAGTAAGAACAAACATTTTACTCCTCTTTTAGTACAAAATAAACCTTATCTATTAGGGCTATCATCAAACTGTCAAATTTTAAGGTTAATTTACCATAACCCACAAATTTAAATTTGACAGCTCTGATAGAATAAGGTTTATTTTTTGTGGATTGTGAACGTCACCTTATTTCTTAATAGTTTGTTAGGTCCCCCTGTATTTGATTTTGAATTTTTAGCCGTTTCGTTTTAATTCGATGAAGATTATCTTTCGGTATACTGCATTAATTTACCCTTTTATTCTTGTTTTTTGTTTGCTCAAATTCCTTTTCACTTGGGAGCAAGTCATTTTCTAAAAAAAATTGAAACTCAATAAGTTTTTGTAGGGTCCAGCCTGTGTTCAATAAGAATCGAATTACCATCCCAAAGCAACTTTTACCAAAATTTTGTAAAAAAAATAATTTGTTCTCTTCAAAAGCGATTTCAATTAACCGGCCGAAAATTCACTTCGTCGCACCCGAAAAATCTGGTCAAAAGGTGGGCCTCGGTGTCCGATCTACAAGGGGTTCGATAAATTTGACGGACAAACTAACAGACAACAGAAAAAAAGGTTTTTAGAAGTCTATTACGATCAAAACACTCTTGCGGGTGTTTATCCACCTAAACTGGGTAGAAATTTAATAATTAAAGAGAATTTTTATATTAAATATTGTCATCTGTCGTCTATACATAGGTCAATGTTTTGCTGGATATTTTGTTGGGTCCCAGTATATCATTTGCAAACAAAAATTGACTTTAATTTAAAGATCCACCTCATAAATGTTTTTTATTGCTTTTGTTTGTTTGAGAAATGTTTCCAAAATTTTGTATGTAATTACTGCCCTGAAGCAACTTTTACCAAAATTTGGGCGAAAAATATTCTTTCGTTTTCTTCTTAAGCGATTTCAATTAAACGGATGAAATTTGACGAAACTACAAAAGGTTATAATAAATTGACGGACAGGCTAACAGACAACAGAAAAAAAAGTTCAGAATTCGATTACGAATCGATACATACGGTATGTATCGACTCGTAATTCTGAAAAACTTTTAACATACCCTCCTTGTTGCTTTTTCCGCGTCCGCGCCCACCTCTTGTCATTTCTCAATTTTTCACAAAATAACCAACTATATTCATTGAACCCAAAAACCTATCAAAACAAGTTTAACAATTAACAACAATTAAAACCTTTGGCATTTTTTATTTGTTGTTAATTGTTAAAATTGTTTTGATGGGTTTTTTAGTTTGGGGTTAGAAGGGTGTACATTGTAATAATTTAGTAGCTAAATCATTCTGTATACAATTTTTTTTTAAATATTCATTTTAATTAGTGATGTTTTCCCTCTTAACTTCTTAATAATATTGCTATAACTACAGGAATTATGTTGGAAACAGAGTCATGCCAATATTGCAGCCCTGTGTGTCGACCACATCAGAAATTTTTACCGGTTTGTTCAACGTTTAAATTGTTATATGAGCTGCATGTGCCTGGATTGTATTATTATTTGTTTAAAATAAATATTTAGGTATACCGGGCAGCAGATGACATTTGATTTTTTATATTTACTCTTGCATTTATTTATACTTGTTGTTCACAATAAAATAGTTATTATTATTATTAAATTATTTATTTTAATGTGAGCACCAATTATAATTATTCGTTAAATGTAGCGAATGTATTATTATTTTTGTGGTATTATGGTAGGAACTTCAAGCCTTCCAGTAAGTCTGCTGCCATAGCTCGCCCGAGTTCCTCTGCAACCCCTTGCTCCCGTGAGTTTTTTTTTATTTTTTATATAAGCTTGAATTAACGTTACGTTGACAATTAATTTCCATTTTTTTATGATCACAGAATTAGTTCAAACTTTAAAATAATTTTTTTTTTGAGTTTGGTTTCATTTCTACATGTTTCTTGAAATAAGAAAATATTTGTTTAAATTTAAAATTAAAAACATATTGTAGAAATGTGTCAAGATTTATAAAACCAAACTCACTATTTAAATGTGTCTATTTGCAGTGGTTTTATCTTTGGCAACAATTTAATTTAAAATTGTCAATTTAGAATAGTAATGTAGCGTTAACGCAACTTTATTAGATTATAGATTGTTTGGTTTTATTGATGTTTCATTTGGTGTTTGGGATTGCTTTAAATGTTTAATTCGTTATAATCATTTTAATAAATAAAAATTTTAAAGAAATTAATTAACAAAATTTAATAGTTTACTCAACAAAATTTACCTCTTCCAAATTTTAATTAGATATTTATTTAAGAGTTGATTTCTTTAAAATTTATATTCATCTGGTGCTAATAATAATAATCATAATAAATGTTTTTTCATTTTTAAAATAGCTGCTAGTGGCACATTTAATACTACTGCTGCGAGTTATTCCGTTACTACTAATAATACAGGTAAACATTATATGCTTTTTATTCTGGTCAATTGGTGTTGGGAAGTTAAAAATAAACTTTACTGTTAAATTAAAAAATGAGAATGAAGTCGTGTGGTTTCTGCCAAACAAAGGCTATTCATTCTTCATATTATTAATTATTTTGATGCAACCACAATAAAAAAAATTAAAAATCAGTTTCCAAAGAATTGTTTTTAGCTACTTTGGAAATCTTACCTACATTTTTTATTCAAATTAGCTAAAAATTTGAAACATTAAGCTTACATTACAGCTATACCACTTTCAGGCTTCCCCATTGTATATGCAGTGTGTTCTACAGTCATATGGAAAAATCATTTGATTTATAAAGCTGTAATTTTAGCAATTCGAATTTTTTTGATTTCAATTTAGGGTTATCCTATCTACAGGATGTGCTGGTTTCTTTTTTTGTTTTGTCTATTAAATTTTTTGTTTATGTATCACATATTAATAGTAACTGCAATTTAAAACTAAATTATATTTATCATATTTTCATCAAATCTCTTTTTTGTGTTGCATATAAAAGTTGCTTGAAATAAGTATATTTATCATTTTTTCTTCAAATCATTTTTTGTGTTGCAGATAAAAGATGCTTCAAAAAATTAAAAAATGTAAGCGTTCAATATGAATCTAGAAAAATATTATTGAATTATTTTTGGATTTTTTCCATTAATGGTTTTGGGGATATGAATCTAGAGAAATAATATTGAACAATTACTTACTTTTAGATTTTTGCTGTATGGTTTTTGGGAATGTGTGAAAAACACAATGTGTGGTTTAGGTTTTTTACTTGATTATACTATTTTACAAATAAATAAACAAAATGTAAATTTAGTGCTGCTAAACATTTAATCCTGCCAAAATTCGCAATAATTTTATGGAAATGTCAGGGAAAATGAAATTATGCCCCGCACATGGGGTAAATAGTCAAAGCCCCACATACTTTTTTGTAAAATGAGGGATATATTTTATGCTCCAGTCTGACCCTTAATCTTCATTGCAAAAATAACGAAAAATTAGGGTTATGAAATAAACCTGGTTGGACAGGAAAATTTAGAAAAATGGTCAGTAGAAAGACAGGTATTTTTAGCATTTGCAGTGGACACCCTCATAGGATATGAATTTTTCATTTTTTCTTCTTTTTAAAGGCAGCTTTGGCTCAATCTAAAGTTAAAAACGGAAAATCTAGTTGTAAAAGGTGTCAATTTAAAATTAGTCACGTGATGGGACTTGAAGGTTTGGCGCATAATACGCTACTCATATATCAAATTGAGTCTTACTTACCACTTCAATTAAATTATTAATTCATACGAACAATTAAACGCCGACAACCCGTTCAAAAATCCATCGAAAAGACCGCTTGCAGCACCACCTGGCAAGTTTAATGAAAATTTTGATATTTTATTTTTCAATTTGTTGTAAAGCACATAAGAATCCTTAGAGCAAACTATGTGCTACCTAAGTTTAATTGATTTTAATTTGTTTCTTGGTCTCTTTAATTTACCTTAATAAATTATGGAAGGATTCCAGAAATATTGGTTGGAATAAAATCAAACTAAGAACGTATTATATATATAGTGATATTACCTACATGTGTAGATGACTACCCAATATAAGAACCATGAAGAAAACTTTAATTTATTGTAGTTTAAACTAAGAAAACGGTCTCCAACTCAAATTCTTCAACGCCATGATTTTAACCCAACTAGTTAACTCCTTAATCTACAAGAAGCAAAATTCATATTTTTTGACTTTTGGACTTGTTTTTCATAGGATATACACAGTGGAGTTTAATGCAATAAATTTACAATCCAATTGGAGAAAACAGTATTTTTTTGTTTGTTGAATACTGTTATTGTGTTTGTTATGATTAGGGATGGCAGATTAAAATATTTTTTCGATATACCGAATCGATATCAACATATATCGGAATAAATATATCGATATTATATATTAATATCATATTATGAAATATATCGATGTATAGGGTTTTTGGTGGTATTGTTAAAATTGACTACTTTAAGAACTTTTTGAAAAATAACTTTTTTTGATTTAAGTCTTTGCTTTTGATATAAAATCTTTATTAGTCATTAGTTTTAAATTAAAAAAATTTAATATGTACATTTATTTAACCATAATATAATTTATTACAAAAAAACCAAAAAAAACATAATTATATTATTCCTACCCCTAACCCGCTCAAGCCATTCAGTTGGCTTCTGGGACTTCTTAGGAAGTAAGGTTGAAACTTAAAGAGCACTTTTTGTATTTATATTTAAATTCACAATGAACGAGCGATATTACAAAACCTTTGTTTCATTTAATATTAAAAAAAATAAAGTTTTTTTAAATCGATTTATGGCTGCCACTCAATCTACCAAAATTAAAAAAAAGCATATTAATAGCGATATTGCACCGTAATATTCAAATTTCAACAACTTTCTCAATTCGATTTTAAATTCATCGCTAAAAAGTCCAAAAACAAAAAAAAGGTCAGCTTTTTTCTCACCTTACGCCGTGAGTTTATTGAAATTGTGGACGCTTTCAAAATAAAGGTTCATTTGACCTGTAATAATTTCAACGTCAATCATACCTGTGCGCGGCCATTCTTGTAAAATGATTCTACGCATGCGCAATTAATATTGTCTCACACTGCGCTCTTTTGATCACATGTGGCGACACTTGAATGCGTTAAGAGCTCGAAACAAGTGCTAAAAACAACATACGAGTTCATATGAACTTGGGATTGTGCGGGAAGTGGAATTTTACTACTTATCAACTTATTGCATTAAGAGACAACTAGCCAGTGGATAATATTTAATTTGACACCGTTACAAACGGATTGGTCTTTTTTTTAACTCTGCATATGACCTAAATAATAAAAATAGGAAATTCATAAAAAAAATTTATTGCGATTTTTGATCCAGGCATCAAACGTACATTTTGGCTGTAAACCATCTATAACATTGTGTTTTTTCTTAACATTCTTTTAAATTACAAAATTCAAGTTAGATTTAACATTTTGTTTTTTTATAGTTTCAAATACAGTACCACAAAAAGTACAGGAACCTATGTTCATAACAGTTCCTCCAAGACCACAAAGAGTTTTACACTCAGAAGCATATATAAAGTAAGTTAATAATTAAAAACCACTGAAGCTATTTATTTTAACTTTTATATAATTTAAGGTATATTGAAGGCTTACAAGCTGAAAACAAGCATATAACGCAATGGGAACGTACTTTAACAGCTACCCAAGAAAATAGTACAGCTCCAGATATTGACAAAATAAATCAAGTTTCTACATGGCTTGGACGAAAAGCGGATCAGCATGACAATGTTGTAGCTGCAATATGGACACTAAGAAATCAATTGTTAAAAGACACGTTGGGATTACACAAGACTTTGTAATTTATTATTCATAATAATTTATTTGATTATATCGTTTACTTTTTATCTAAAGTATTATGTTAGAGATAGTGTGTTATTTGATTATTATTTTATAATTTTATAGAATAAATATGACAAATGCAATTTCCCTTCTTTTTTTTAAAACTTACTTTTTCCTAACCTTAAATTACCGCATTACAAGTAAATTAATTTTATTTTATATGGTGTTTTCTGCATAATAAATGAGAATTTTTAGTTGACCTTGGACGAATAGTCCTCGTAAGTAAACAGTAATCATAGGCAAAAATAAAAAACACAAAAAATCTAATATTAATATGAACATACAAATATTATAAAATAATAAGAATTCAGTTATTTAAAAATAAGGTTTATAAACGCCTATTGCATAATATCGTTGTTTTTTTTCGTCAATAATGATTATAAATTCCCTGCCTGGCGGGAATAATGATAATCATTATTCCCGTTGTTAGGCATCTGCATTTGCCGATTTTAATATTCACTGAGATTTGAACCAATCTGGTTTTAAATTGGTATAAAGTGATCATTTAAAATAATTTTACCAATTATTGGTAAAAATTGAGGTTAACCATTTGACAGATTTTTAAAAATTATTTGATTATCTACTTATTGGAGTAGACATTTTTAATACAAATATAGGTATTTTATATAATACATAAATATACTTTACATCATATCCTTTGTGCTTTACATACCTGAGTTGTTACGGTAAATACAAATCAGACAAAGGAACCAAAGAAATGAACTATTTTCAACAAAATCATTTGCAGAAATGAGAATATTCAAACTACTTGCATCCATCAAAAGATCAAAACTTCTTGCAATATTGAATTACACCCTCTTTTTATACTCTCAGAAATTTTGACTAGAACAGTATTAGAGACTACAGTTTCTATAACTTTGTAGAGTAAAGAGAAGTCGAAACCGTTGCGATATTGCATTGCGCTGTTTTTGTATATGTAATTCTCGGGGACATTAACGAAAATCATTTCCAGTAAAATTCGAAAAGCTTGAGTTTCTATTAGGGGTGTCAATCCCGGGATCCCGGGATCCCGTAAAAAATCCGATCCCGAAAATCCCGGGATTAAAAGTGCCAATCCCGGGATCTTAGTAATAACCCTAGTAGAAATTTTACGTAGAAACAACGTTTTTCCCACGTTAGCAAAACCTAACTTTTATGTATAATTTTATGTTGAAATGTCCCGGTTTATAACGTTATCTGACAACGTTAGTTTTTAATGTTATAAAAAACGTGGGATTTACGTATTATAAAACGTTGCAAATACGTGGGTTTTGTGTATTATACAACGTTGCTTTTATGTATTATAAAACGTTGCAAATACGTGGGATTTGTGTATTATACAACGTGGGAAATATGTGGGTTTTGTGTATTATAAAACGTTGGAAATACGTGGGATTATTGTATCATAAAACGTTGGATTTTTTTATAAATTTGGGTAGGATTTTTCTTTATTATTGGAAAATTTAATATATATTTAAAAACAACAAAAATTTATTGTACAAAAAAAATACTTTGGAAACAAAATCTAAAAAATATTATCTAATAATATTATACTTAAAGTAAACAAATTAAATTATAATAAAATAGCTTTAACAAAAAATTTACAATGGTATTTTAAAAAGAAAAAATATTGCCTATATATATAACAATTTTCTATACAAGATACTACAACTTTTAAATCAATATTAAAATTAATTAAAAATACCCAATTAACAAAATCTAAAAAATATTATTAATATAATATTATATACTTAAAGTAAACAAATAAAAATATAACAAAATAGCTTAAACAAAAAATTTTCAATGGTATTTTGAAAAGAAAAACTATTGCCTATATTCATATAGGTATTAACAATTTTCTAGATACAAGATACTACAACTTTTAAATCAATATTAATAAAAATCTAAAAAATCCTATTTAAATATTAACTAGAAAAATTCAAATATAAGTAACATAACTTAAAACATGGCCTAAAAAAAATAACAATGCTGGTATTTTAAAGAGAAGAAATATTGCCTATTAACAATTATTACAAATTTTCTAAATAAAGGATTAAACAAATTATAAATTAGCAACAAAAATAAAAAGTCAAAGAAATTTAAGTAGTTACCTAGTTAAAATATAAGTCTAAATAAAACAATTAACAATAAAGGTGAGTTTAAAGTCACAAATTTTTAATTTTCATTAAGGGTTTTGATGCTTGGCAAAATAAATTTTAGCAATTACGAATATATAAGAAAAAATGTGAGGATTTTTGCTTTTGAATAAAAATTTAGAGCACAAGCATTAAAAGGAAAAAATACAAGCAAAAATAGTATTTTTGCCTATATTTTTTTTTACACTTGAAAGTTTTAAAATTGATTTTGTATAGTATACAAATTTATTTATTAAATGCAAAAGATTGTGACCTAAAATTGATTTACATATGGATATAATTTATTAATATAAAAATTATTAAGAACCTTTGATTGTTAAAAAAAATCTAATAGATTTGGCTGGTAACCAACACACAATGGTAAATGATCTCCTCCAGTGTCCGCAAACATTAGAAAAGTTGAAAAATAGTTTAATATTCTGAGTTTCCTTTTTTCACAACATTTTGTTGTTTCCCTGGGTAACCAGGTGCTGGCAAAGCATCCCTTATTTCCTTTACTTCTGAAAAAATATTGGTTTATCACATCATCATGAACTTCTGATCTGGATCTTTTTAGATTTTTAGCATTCCTTTGAGTAATCACAATTTTTGCCTCCGGAAAGAATTTAGCCAGTCATTGCCAGGAAGGTTTTCTTTAAAACAACTAATTATCACTGCTTTGTGGTTTAGATATGACTGCACTCTTTTGTCTCTTGTCTTGCAAAAGATTATCCATTATCCGCAGATCATCTGTGGCAGATGTAATCATTACACTTGCAATCTACCCAAAGGATAGACGATTGTTTATCACCTCTGCCACGGCCAATTCAATATTTTCTGGGTGATAATTTCTTTGATACACTGTTCCAGGAACATGTTTATGCTTTTAAGGCATCGTCACAGAACAAAACTTATTTTACATAAGGCATCGTCCAAATAACCCTAAAAATCCATGCAAAAAGCAACTGTTTAAAAAAAACACTAACAAATTGTTTGTGGTGATTGTTTAGGTTACTAAAAGTTATTTGCCATCCCTATCAGATAAAAATTACCTCATCTTTTAATTATTTTTCCAAAAAACACGAAAGAATTTGCACAAAATTTCGCACGATGTCAACACTTAACCTAAAATAAAGAAATAAACACTTCGTGATAGAGCGGTAAATTTGAATTTTTCTTCGTTTGTTCCGTGTAACCCATAGAAATAATACCACAGAATTTTGTGATAATACTATGGTGTAACCTCTGTTGTTCCATCACCTAACTACGATAGTAAACCTTTATTGAAACTATAATAATTTTAGGTATCTAAAAGTAGGTTTTGTGTATTTCGGCCTTATTTTTAAAACTATGACTTTAAAAATTATATTGCATAGTTAAATTTGATTTTACTTTTATAACTAATGTTACAAAGACTAAAAATTTTAAAAAAATCCACATTAAAAATTTTCTCGACGGGACTTAAAATAATTTTATGTTGCTAAATGTGTGTTTTGGAACGTTGCTGCAACGTTTCTAGCATACAATTTTACAACGTAGTTTGAAAGTGGGTTTTGTGTATTTCGATCGTATTTTTGATATTATATCTTTAAAAAATGTATTGCAGAGTTTGATTTTACTTTTATAAATAATTTATTATAAAAAATAAAAAAAATCCACAATAAAAAATTTGCCGACGGTACTTAGAATAATTTTATGTTGCTAAATGTGTGTTTTGGAACGTTGTTGCAACGTTTCTAGCATACAAATCTACAACGTAGTTTGAAAGTGGGTTTTGTGTATTTCGGTCGTAATTTTGATATTATGACTTTAAAAATTCTATTGCATAGTTTGAAAATCCACATTAAAAATTTTCTCGACGGGACTTAAAATAATTTTATGTTGCTAAATGTGTGTTTTGGAACGTTGTTGCAACTTTTCTAGCATACAATTTTACAACGTAGTTTGAAAGTGGGTTTTGTGTATTTCGGTCATATTTTTGATAATATGACTTTAAAAATGTGTTGAAGGGTTTTATTTTACTTTTATAAGTAATGTATAATAAAAAAAAATTGAAAAAAAAATCCTCAGTAAAAAAATTTTCGTCGGGACTTTGAAAAAAATTTATGTAGCCAAACGTGGGTTTTGGAACGTTGTTGCAACGTTTCCAGCAATACAATTCTGCAACGTTGTTTGAAAGTGGGTTTTGTGTATTTCGCTCATATTTTTGATATTATGACTTTGAAAATGTGTTGAAGGGTTTTATTTTACTTTTATAAGTAATGTATAATAAAAAAAATTGAAAAAAAAATCCTCAGTAAAAAAATTTTCGTCGGGACTTTGAAAAAATTTTATGTAGCCAAACGTGGGTTTTGGAACGTTGTTGCAACGTTTCCAGCAATACAATTCTGCAACGTTGTTTGAAAGTGGGTTTTGTGTATTTCGCTCATATTTTTGATATTATGACTTTGAAAATGTGTTGAAGGGTTTTATTTTACTTTTATAAGTAATGTATAATAAAAAAAAATTGAAAAAAAAATCCCCAGTAAAAAAATTTTCGTCGGGACTTTGAAAAAATTTTATGTAGCCAAACGTGGGTTTTGGAACGTTGTTGCAACGTTTCCAGCAATACAATTCTGCAACGTTGTTTGAAAGTGGGTTTTGTGTATTTCGCTCATATTTTTGATATTATGACTTTGAAAATGTGTTGAAGGGTTTTATTTTACTTTTATAAGTAATGTATAATAAAAAAAAATTGAAAAAAAAATCCTCAGTAAAAAAATTTTCGTCGGGACTTTGAAAAAATTTTATGTAGCCAAACGTGGGTTTTGGAACGTTGTTGCAACGTTTCCAGCAATACAATTCTGCAACGTTGTTTGAAAGTGGGTTTTGTGTATTTCGCTCATATTTTTGATATTATGACTTTGAAAATGAATTGAAGAGTTTTATTTTACTTTTATAAATAATGTATAAT